ATTTGAAGAGGGGTCTTAGCAGGCTTACGGATCAAGGTGTACCTTCCATCTCTAGGCAAAAGCACTTACTGAATTCTGCCCTGTGGTATGCAGAAAACTTATGCTGTATGTCTTTTCCATAGGACTGTAAGCTCCTGAAGGCAAACAGCATTTCTTTGTTGTCTATAGTAATGTGATTGAAGCCATTCATTCCCTCGTTCATTCATCTCAATATTCAAACTATCATTTACTCTGCATCTACCTACTGTGTCCTAGGCGGGGGAGATGAAAACATAAGTGTGGTCCCTGCTTGCAAGAAGCCCACTGTGCAGGAGGAAAGATGGACGCATAAGGAGGGTGAGCAGTATCCCAGTGGACACACAAACAAGTTCCCCCTTTGCTCCTTCTTCTCCCTGCTGCTCATACCTGGCACAGTGCCCAGCACTCAATAGGCAAAATCATGGCTGCTGAATTAATAGCCGCTGCCAGTTCCATGAATTTCCACATTCTTTTTATTTTAGGAGGCCTGTGGTAGGCCAGGGATGTCCATATTGCTCTCTTAAAGCTCTATTTTTGGGGCTAGGCATCTTGGGACGAGATATGGGCTGTTCCATGAGGGCAGTTCCCTCAGGAACAGAGTAGCAGGAACTATTCAGGCTGAATCAGGCAAAGAGTCTATGAGGAACGCCATGTCTGGACCACAGAAGACCAGAAGCTCCCAGCACCCGAACATGCCTACTGAGCAGTAAAGGGGGCAGGAACAGTCATGCTTATACACTTCTGTGGGGGCAGGAGCAAGAAGCTGTGAGTTCCACCCGCCCACCAGCTTCCAGCCTACCTGCCCCTCCCAGCTCACGGGGACTCTACCCGCTGCACCTACCCTCTTGGTGACAATGTTGCCCTTTTCATCCGTGAATTGTTCCTCTGTCACCTGCTCGCCTGGAATATTCTGAAGCTCGTTCCCCTGGAGTTAGAGAAAGGAAGAAAAACTGAGGTTGATCAGTGGTAGTTTGGGAATAAGAGGGAGAGGAAGTAAAATAGCAGGAGTGGCAGTAGCAGCAATGGCCTCAGTCCAATAAATCCCCGCCATCACAGGGAACTCCAACTCAGCAAGGAGCGGCAGCCAACCCAACGGTTCACTGAGCGTCAGAGGCGCCTGAAGACAGGATGGAGCCTAGAGCTTGCGGGAGCTTTGTGCTCTCCATCCTCACAAGAGCCCCGAGGAGTGGGCAAAACTGGGACTACCGTACACGATTTACAGAGGAGGACCTGAGAGAGGAAAGGAGGCACCTAATTTATGTTTCTATAGCACTTTACAGCTTAGAAAGCCCTCCCACATACACGGTTGCCCTGCATGTGACTGGCCTGCCATCCCGAAGCTGCAAGACAAGCACAGGACTCCTAACTCCCAGAACCAGCTTTCTCTGTCGTCATATGGTGCTGGGGGAGCTGAGCGCTGAACACAGCTCTGGCTCTCTGTGCAGGACCCGATCCACCAAGGCCTTTCCACTCCTTCTCATCCAACATGTGTCCTGACTTGGAGTCTAGCACTTTCCTCCACTCTTCCCCACGCCCAGCACAGCACTCTTCCCTCTCTGCGGCCCCCCGGCAGCTCCGCCTCTAGCCTAGTCCTGCCGCCTGCCTTGCGTTTACCTTCAAGAAGACCCGACGCCGGACCACCCTGGTGGAGATGGTCTCCTCGTCGTCACTCAGGCCCTCACTCTCCCCCAGCTCCTTGTCCAGCTCCTGGTGGATGTGCTTCAGCACAAAGCTCAGGGAGCCTTTGACAATGTGCATCACGTTCTGACAGCTGACCAGGAAAAAGCCCAGGAGCACTAGTGTGACCAGGAGCTGGATGATGAAAGTCCACATCCTCACCTCCTCCTCACCAGCCTGGCCCC